ACAATGAATACATGGCAGACTGCCAAAATTTTTGTTTTTGAGTGTATGTTGTATTGGGAATCCGAGCCCGTGGTTCCATTTGTCTCACCACATGGATCAAAATTTTCTACTCATTTGCCCACATCTGGCTTCGTTTCAGTTTTGGAGGCTTCGGTTAATTAAGTCTGTTGGATAATTTTCGAAATAAATAAGAAAATAAGACACCATGTTTTGGATAAGACTAACGGAGAAAATAAAATAAAAGGGTAGCCCGATTGGCCCATCTGTCATGTGCACGCAGGGAACCCTTGCGCATAGCCAACGCATCGACGCCGCCGCCTCTTCCTAGGTTTCTTGTCTTCATCTGCCATCACCCATTTCCTTGATACCGTTGTGCAGTCCAGATAACACCGGAGTCGGACGCCTACAACCACTGTCCAAGGGAAGACAACCATTCTGGTCCTCGGCTCCGATCTGTTGATGCAGAGGTAAAGGAATTTACTCTGTAACGGAAATGTTCACCGGCTGCCATAGCCATGCTTGTATGGAGTACTGTGGAGGGGTGTTATATGAGCCGCTCCTATTTGGAATAGGTCTCCCCAATAATATATTGTACTAGGCAAATTGACAGAGATGATTAACATATCTAATGATGTGTACTTGCTTGTATCCAATGATGTGATGTACTTGCATTATTCAACAATGCAACCTCCAACCACATGAGTTGGATATATTATTATATTTCACCATTCTTCTATTCATTTATTTTATTTTTGCAAAAACTGGATTTGATCTATTACAAAGGCCGTGCATATTGCTAGAACATATGCCTTGATTTCCGTCTAGCGTGTCACTACCTACGTGTCATATGATGTCAGCGTGCATAGAGGGCCATTCACCCTACAAGGAACTTCCGAGTGAGGAGTTTGCGCTAAGCCACACCCTTTATTTTATCCCTTGACATTTTTCACCACGTCAACGCAAATATTTCCTCAACCAAAATACATAGTGGACCAGTTTCCCTCCTAGTATATCACATAATTTTGTAGAAAAAAATCAAAACTATGAGAAAATGTGGAAAACTATTCATCTACAATTCACAAGCTCCCCTATCTCCTCAGATGTAAGCACTACTAGGAAAAACCTTAGCAGTAGCGTGGGTGCCCGCGCTACTGCTACGACGCTACAGCTAAATATTAGCAGTAGCGCATTTTCCATCCCACGCTACTGGTATGCTAAGTACTAGTAGCGTTGCTTTATCAACACACGCTACTACTATGGTATGTACTAGTAGCGCCGCTTTATCCACCCCACGCTATAGCTAATTAATTAGAAATTAAAAAATATATATTCAAATGCAGTATTCATGGATGGAAATTCAGATGCATTTGCTTCACCAACAATGATTAGTAGTAGCATCAACATAGCCTCTAATTCAGCATAGGAGTTGCAAGTAAGGGAAAATTACCATCGACACTACTAGATAATAATCATCATAGCTAGTCATTACCACCAACATTGTCTAATCATCATAGCTACATAGTGTAGCACATCATCATCATCTTGAAATTCATTCTAGCTAACTAATCACTCCTACTGCTCTCTCTCAGGTAAAATAGCATAAAACATGTGGAGCGCTCCTGATTCATCATATTGAAGCATGCAGATGAACTTGTCTCCTACTTGTGAGCTACGCTTCTGATTGCTGCCTCCTAGTACTTCTCTACAATCCTTCATAATTTTGTTCCAGTCTTTGACTATTAAGACTTGCTTGCTTCTAGAAATCCTGAATGCACTCATGTGCAATGTAGGAAGTCTTGGCCGTATGCTAACGATGGACATGCGACCTTTAGCTTCGATCAACTGAGGCAAAACTATCATCGGGATTCGCTGTTGAAGAACATCGTAGTAACATACTTAGCAATGAAGTTTAGCTTAAAAAATAATGTATGCAAAAGATGCACTGAGGACAAATAGTAAAAATCTTACCATCTTTCCTAAATAGACGTGGCCATAGTTCAGTACGAACACTATTGGTCGCACGTTTTGAGTACTAAAATTTGTAAGTCCAAGAAAATAATTTGTCTTCACTGTATGACGATTTCAAGCCATGAAACATAATGACTTTTCTCCTTGCAGTTTAGTTCAGCCCCGGGACAATAGTAGGTCATGGCTACCAAGCGCCAGACATGTTTGCTTGAATGGAAATAAGCTGTCAATAGAAATTAGTTGTCAACTATTTTTGAA